AATTAAACCAGCAGGTGGCAGCAGAAGGGCTCCTGTCACTTCCGCAAGAGAAGTTGGTAAATCAGATTCAAGTGTCTAGCATGATTCAAAACCTCTTGCTCTTGTTATGATTTCAAGTAAGAAAGATCAGCATGCCTATTGCTGACGTCAGGCAATAAGCTTTGAATATGACATCTAGGGCTCGATGTTTGGAACAAATCTTAGCTCTTCTGTTTATCAAGCATTTAGTGTGATGCTAATGCATGAGCCAGCATGGTGAAATGGTTTGAGTGTTGGACTATGACATTCAGATCCTTGTTCAGTCATGGAAATCCACTGGGTGACCTTGGGCAAGTCACATTTTCTCAGCCTCAGAAGAAGGCAAAGACAAACCCACTCTGAACGAGCAAATCGTGATAGGTTTGTTTTAAGGTCGTCATAAGTCAGAAATGACTTGAAGGCACACAACAACAAAAAAGCTCTTGTATATCTTGAAATAACAAAATCTAAGCACAAAGAACCCTCTCTCTTGAACGCTCACTCTTTGTTTCCTAACCAGATCTGAATTCCCTATACTCTCAGGTATGAGCACAGACTTTTACTTGCTGAGGGCAACTGGTGAGAAGGCACACATGTCCAAAGCCCCAGTTTGTCTGGGGAAGGGTGCATCTCCCATATTCTCCAAAGACACTGGGGATGTCCTCACCCCTCCAACTGAAACCAGAATGGGCCAGAAGATCTTTCCCTTTCTTTAACAAATAAGGGTGGGTTTTGGTTTGGTTTGGGTAATATGATGGAAGAAGCATGCATTGTTTTGAGAGAAAACTTCACAGTTCTGCAATCTGGGGCCAAAAATGGGTTTGTTTGTTTGTTCGTTTCAGGGTGATGATGGGGTAGGCTCTGGAGACTACAAAAGATAGCCCTGGGGACACATTCAGCCCATGCAACACATAATCCCTACTGCTGTATTTGCCCCCCCAGCAAAGCCAAAAGCCTACAGTAAAATTTATGTAATCATATGTGTAACCTTCAGAGCAAATAGGCTCCTCACAGTGCTGAATTGGAGGCATTCCTACCAACATAGTGCACTATCTGTTTCTGCCATTTGGAGACTTATGTTATTTTCTCTACAGCAAACAATACTGTAAGTAAATGCCTGAAATCCTAGTTGTTACAATGTGCACCTGCTGCAGTTTCCAAACCCTTTTCAAAGGCCATGGTGGGTAAAACGCTTCAAGGGCTGCAGAGGCAAAATAAAAATGACATCCGGAGCTCTTTTGCACTACTGCATACAGTTATAGCATTGTGATTCCACTTTAACTGTTTGAGTGCATCCTGTGGAATCTTTTGTTGTGTGCCTTCAAGTTGTTTCCAACTTATAGCAACCCTAAAAGTGACCCTATCACAGGGTTTTCTTGGCAAGACTTGTTCATAGGGGATTTGCCTATGCCTTTGTCATCCCCTGCGGCTGAGAGATTGTGACTTGCCAAAAGTCATCCAGTGGTTTCTGTGGGCAAGCAAGAATTTGAACCCTTGTCTCTAGAGTCACAGTCCAACAGTCAAACCATTAAACCATGCTGACTCTCATGGAATCGTAGGATTTCTAATTCGGTGAGGTATTAGAGGCTCTCTGGCTGAGAATTATAAATACCTTTCCCTAAACTGCAAATTCCAGGGTTCCATAGGAGAGGCTCAGAGAAGCTAAAGCAGAATCATAACACTATGAGTATGTACTGTTGAAATTCTTGGACTGTTATAAAATTCTGTATTTGAATGGAGGTGATTGCATAATAAAAACCCTAATTCAGAATCACCCATAATATGCTTTAGTGTCTAATTTTTAGGATTAAGGCAAATGTCATTGTCCCTCAGTTGGAGAGGAAGGCAATGGGAAATTTCCTTTAAATAAATCTTGCCAAAATAGCTTAGCGTAGCTTCAGTTGAAGATGACCTGAACATACATAACAACAAAAAGTGTTATTATATTTTGATCTCCTTGGGTTGAAAGCATGTCACAGGGATAACAAATATTTCTGGAAAAGTTTTGTAAAAAATACCCTTCTCAGGTCCTGTTTTCTGCCATTCTTTCTTTTGCTGCCTCTTTGATATTATGTTTCCCTCTAATCAGCATTGGTTCCTGGATATGTCACATGGATGTCTGCCACCAGTCAGGTCCCATATGGTGACTGGGATACTCTCTTGGTCCAGAAATGAGGAAGATATGGCGGGTTAATGACATCAGTGAGGTTCATTTCATTAGGAAAAATGAAGCATGATGTCTTTTCACTGAACTGACCAAAATTTGCCATAGATAAATGAATTATTCATGCTTCCTAATAATTAGATATGAAAGAAAGAGGCCACAACCTTTGTGCTGTTATTACCAGATATCAGAATATGCAGAGCTGCAAAGAGAAATCAGTGTTTTTTGTTGGCAGTCTTGGAGATTATTCTTATGACATTTAAAAGACCCTATTTTGTAGCCACTTCCCTCTTGTTTGGAGGACTGGCAAATATAAAATGTTGTTATTTAAGCTGTTCCATTTATTCATTTCTTCAGAAGACAATTTCCCTTAGCACCAAAGCTGGCACTTCAGCAGCCCAGTGCTTCCTCGGGGCTCAAGGCTGGCAATATACAGGTATTTTAATTATTTTAAAATATTTATAGCTTAGCTCCTATCTCTTACCTCTCATTAACAGCATTGGGAATCTCTTCCATTACTTGCTATCATTGCATATGAATTTTATTTTATTATTTTTTGTCATAGTCTGAGTAGCACAATTGTATTACAAGGCTAAGTTCTCCCTTTCCTTGGCATGGGCTTCAGAATTAATCAGAAAGAAGATGATGGCATAAACAGGAGGCTGGAGCAACTGAGGAGTATGTGATTCTGGAGCACAGGGATGAGATTGAGCATCATCTGCAAGAACTCTGGGTGATTATAAAAATCCCAACACATTGCTTATATTGTTGGTCTATTATTAATTTCATTGCCTGCAGTACAAATAAACAAAGCAAGTGCATTTCCACTGCAGGAGGGGGGAAATAAAGACAATATTACATCAGGCACTCATCAATCAGCTTTGGGCTGGCCCAAGTTATTTTGCTACCTGGGGGCAAAAAACAAGATGGCATGTGTGTGCACATGTGCACACACACACAGAGAAGCACAGAAACCAATGGGATTGGCAGTAGACTCACACCTCAACACTAGCAGTAGGATAATTTTCTCCAGAGGTGTAGCTACAGAGGGGCAATATGGAGGCAATAATAAAGATTTATGCCTCACACATGAAATTTCAGTTCAGTCTCCAAATGTCTAGCATTGCAGAGTGAGACACTGAAAACTGTTCATATCTAGAAGTCTTATATATGCTATGCTTGCATTCCCTTTTTTTTTTCCGGATGTCTAAATTGGATTTCTGGATGGTCAGCTGAAGTTTTAAATTAACAAAAATTTGAGGACTGAAGAAAAGTTTCATGGAGGGCATAATTCTTATTGGGGGGCAAAACCTTCACTTTACCACCCGCTTACCCACCTACAGCTACACCCCTGTGTTCCTCTAACATAAGGCAGAAGACTAATTTTGGCAATGCAAGACAAGGTTATGGTTGAGTCTTGGGAGAAATAGCTGAGGATCTGAGGACCTGTACAATGGCTTGTGTAGAAAGATAAAGAAAATTACTACAATTACCAATGCAGAGAAATAGAAGACAACAACAAAAAGGGAAAAGCAAGAGATCACAACATCCATGAAATCAAAGAAAAATTCAAGCCAAGGACTGAGATGCTATATGACAATGAAAATAACATAATTCAAGACCAGGAAGGAATAAAAGGAGGTTGGATGCAATACACAGAATAATTATACAAAAGAGATGGCAAAATGAAGGACACATGGAACAAAAAACCATATGAAGATCAACTTGAGGGCAGTTAACAACAAAAAAGATATGCAGATGACACCATAATACTAGGAGAAAACCTCACAAACCTGGAATACCTACTAAGGAAGATCAAAGAAGAAAGTGCAAAGGCAGGCTTAACATAAAGAAAACAAATGACCACTGAGGACCTTCACAAGTTCAGTCTAGACAATGAAGAAATAGAAATAGTAAAAGAATTCCCATACCTGGGATCAAATATTGATAGAAATGGAGACTGCAGTCAGGAAATCAGAAGAAAATTAAGAATAGGGGGGTGGCTATGAAAGAACTTGAGAAGATTCTAAAATGCAAGGATATACAATTGAGCACAAAAGTTTTAATAGTACAAGCCATTGTATTCCCTACTACCATGTATGGATGTGAGAGCTGGACAGTTAAGAAAGAAGATGGGAAGAAAATCAATTCATTTGAGATGTGGTGCTGGAGAAGAGTGCTGAGGATCCCACGGACAGCTAAAAGAACAAACAAATGGGTCCTGGAGCAGATCAAGCCAGAAACCTCCCTGGAAGCCAAGATGACCAAACTGAGGCTGTTGTACTTCAGACCTATCATGGGAAGATAGGACTCATTGGAAAATACAATAATGCTGGGAAAGGTGGGGGGAAGTAGGAAGAGAGCCAGATGAATGGACTCTATTAAGGAGGTCATGAGTATAGGGTTGCAGGATTTAAGTGGAGCAGTAGTGGACAGGGGGTCTTGGAGAGGTCTCATCCATAGGGTCGCCATGAGTCGAGATCAACTCAAAGGCAGTTAACAACAACAACAGCAACAACTGTATTGTTACCTGCCCCCAGAATCTGCCTTTTGTCTCATTCTGCTCAATAGTAGGGCTGTCCCTGAATCAACTAACTAATTCAAACCCATACCTGTGGTCTGATACTCTAGTCCCCACATCACACACCAAGAGTCATTATCACAGGAAGTTGTGTTAACTGATGCTCTGGATTAGGGGAGCAATCTCTAAAATTTCCCAAGAATTTTGGACATTTAACAGTCATGTTCTGGATTCCAAGAGAACCTGTGCCATCCCATCTTTTTTCTTCCTGCAAACCCTTTGCCCATAGAAATGAAATTAAATAGGGCACCTTTAATTTAAACATACATCTCCACTTAGCAACAATGATGACAAAACATTTGTCTTTGAAATTTAAATTCTTCATAGACTTCAACACATCCCTCTTAAACATGACCAATTATATCTGCACCTTCCGAGGAAACACTTTTGGTCTGTGAAAAAGAAATAAAATGTATTGGTCAATTTTCATCTCATTTTCCTTAAGCTTGATAGTATTAATCATTTATTTCCTATTACTATTATTTCAGTGTGTATGTCTTCTGCTTAATTATACATAAGAAAGCAATGGTAAAGAGGCTGACATGAAATTTTGATTCTGAGGGGAAAATGAGTCTCCTAAGACAAGAAAAATTTAATAGCACAACCAGTGAAATTCTTATTTTCCATAAAATACAGGTACCGATTATATTGTGCAGAACCCTGTAGAGGAGAAGGATAGAAAACATTTCTTTTCTATTTATTTGACTTATGTCTCACCTTTCTCCCACAATGGGTACCCAAGGCAGATCACAAGATTAAAAACATGGTACTGCTAATAAGAAGTAACAGCAGATACAGATACTAAGAACAATTAATTTATAAACAGATTATATTAAAACACAGTCAAATTAAAATCTATTTTAGAAAACATCCATTAAAAATAGTACTGCACCAATCCATTCAAGGTGCCTTCTCATCAGGCAGCCAACTGCAAAAAACCTGCTCTGTGCCTATGGAAAGATACCAGGGACAGAGCTAGCTAAACTTCCCTTGGAGGGAGTTCCAAAGCTTGGGAACAGCCACCAAGAAGACCCTTTCCTCTTTTTCTCCCCTCTTCTTTCTTGTCTAACAGTGTTCCAAGCAAGGAAAAGAGAACTCCCGTGGGAAGTCTGAATTATTCACTTGGTGAGGGCTTTTGAAGTTAGAACTGCAGGACCTTAGGTAAAAACCCACAGGTTGCCTGTGCCTGGTTTAGGATATCAGTGACCAGTGGCTTCACTAGGGGTGTGTGGGGTGTGTGGACTACACCGGGTGACCGGGGTGGTGGGGACACCACTGCTCCTCAGACTCCTACCTTTTGGCAGAAATGGGCTGTGGCATTCATCTGCTTCCCTTTAAAATGCTTTAAGAGATGGTGGGAATAGGGCGTAGCTCAGTGGGAGGAGAAAGAAGAGTCCCCCCCAATTTAACATTAAAATTTCAAATTTCAAAAAATCTTAAAATTAAAAACAATCAAAATTGTTTTAAAAACTTTCTTTAAAACTTCACATTTTAACCAAATATTCACTATGTATATGCAAACCCATTTAGGTTGTGCTTATGATATTGTAATTCAAAAGTATAATTTTAATTTTGCTAGTTGTTTGTGTCACAACTGTTAGCATTACATTCAGTGGGATATGGGAATTACAATGTATGAGTAACATTAGTGCAAAAAAGTATTACTAAGGATTCCATATGGTGTGAAATAGGAGAAGATCAGTGACGGGGGCAGATAATACCATGAGCTACTGCACCAGGTGACACCAACCCTAGGGATGCTACTGTCAGCGACTGTGTGAATTTTGGGTGTACAGAG